CTCATTGTTAAAACTTGAAGGGTGTATAAAGTAATGTTTGAAAATTATCACTTGTGATGTGAAAGTTCGCAATATTAAATAACTGATTGAATAATTATTATGATTAATAATTATGATAACTACAAAAAAATTGACAGAAAATATGAATGTTTTCATCGTAACTATATTATGTATTAAACCACAGCCCTGTGTCATCATATTTTCTTCACATACGATATCTACATTCAACACATGATTCCATATCAATCATGCTGAAGAGGCGATATACTACCGTTTACCTAATCAGCTGATATACGTAGCGAAGAACTCTCACGTATCAAGACAATCCATTCTAAATTAACCATACGAAATTTCCAAAGAAGGCTAAAACTGAACTTTCTTTAACTTAAATTAATTTCCATCAAGGGACAATAACCAATCGCCGCCTATGACAAGCCATTTGCATATATTTTCTCACCCTCACTGGCCATGGTGTTGTTGCGTCGCTCGGTGGAAGAAGAAGACTGCGTTCCAATAACGTGAAGGCGAATCCTCGCGGCCTTGCCTCAAGCCGGATCGGGGCCGTGACGTCACGATGATGTAAAGGACTTGTCACACTGGCGTATTATGCTGCGGGTTCTTTACAAATGTCTGTGTCAAGGCAAGAATAAATACTCTGAGTAAACGGATAACGTTCCGTAGCGCTATCTGTAAAAATTCTGATCAAGCAGGTGTTACGTGTACTTCCAATCGGCTTGAATTTGACGTCACAAAACTCAAATCGGCTTGAGATCGAGGACCGCAAAAATTTTCCGTAGGAGACTTATCAACCCTTAAGATGAAACAGAAATTGCATTTTTCTGTAATGGTGTTTGGGATTATACTATATGCTAAATTGGTTTAAAAGTTTTATATGTGATTAATCTTACCTGTATACAGTATATTATTTGCTTGAAGTGAGAAAACGAGGGAATTTCAAAAATTCTTGGAAAATTACTATAAAAAGTAAATACACAAATACCCAATGTGAACAAGACAAATAAAAGGTAGTTTACAGCCATCAACTGAATAAAGAAAGAGATAAAAGAAAAAATTAAGAATGAGAGTCAGCTGTGTCATAAAAGGTCATCGCGTATATTTATTTTTTTCAGAATATTATTTTCTCCGATGTTGCAGTATTTTATTTTCAATTATTACACAACAAATCAATCAGCGTATATGTAAAACTATTAATATAACTGAAACAACTATCACAACATAGTTCATAATGAATATTCTTAAATTTTAGGTGCTAGAGAGAGAGAAAAAAATTCAAATGGAACAACTGTTCACATGTGTATAAGCAATTACACATGTCCAACCTGTCCAGGTAGAGAAATATAGGAAATTAACACTTGCACATGGAATATATTTGCATTTCTATAGTTAATCTTGAGCGGCGGATGTATATTTCACAAGACAAACTTATTGACATATAAACCAATAGTTTAATTTAGAAATGGCAACGAATTAATACATTGGTCAAAAAAAGAAAAATAATATAAAAACAAATAGATATCCAAAACTCGACCCTAGAGTGTATCCAGAAAACCCGGACAATAACAAGGGATCCGGAAACAAAGCGATCCCAGGGTGACACAGCGGGATAGAGTCAACGAGAACGATTATCTGACGAAGTGGTATCCATTATTCTGTCCTCACGTTCCAAATACTAGCTTTCGTACAACCGGGAGAGAGCGAGAATGGCCACGTACAAATTAAGGTGTAATTTGTTAGGCCACAGCAAGGACGTAAGAGCAGTGGCCGGCACCCCAGAGGGCCATATACTCACTGCCTCCAGGGACAACACAGCCAGGCTTTGGGGTCCTGTCGAGAATGGGTAAGTGGGTAGGATGATGTTCTCTGTCCTGTGGCGCTAAATGTGTGGGGTTATGTGTTACCCTCTGTTTGAAATTGGACACAGGCTGGTCTTTTGTCTTGAGATCTTGCTGGTGGGGTGGTATTTGATTTTTTTTTTATTGCATAATGTTTTGTAAAGCATGATGGATATATGATGAAGTTTTTGTAGTGGTTTACATTGTTAAGAATGTATTGAGATGATAACTTATTAAGAACAGAATAAAGGGTAGGTTTTACAGACTTTCATTTCATAACCAAAGTTTTTTTTTTCAAATAGATGTGTTAATGGGACCATTCTGGAAAATTCATACTTTCATTATCAGTAAATAGAAAATAACCTTATAAATTGACATGGGATTTAACAGGTTTGGAGAGATTTGGATTGTGCATCTTTTTGTGTCATATTTGGCCTTATGAGTGTGTCAATTAAAACTATAAAACAGGCCTGCATCTATCAAGAGAGTAAATCTCCAACTTAAACTAGCCAATACATGAACCCCATTGTAAATGGACAAACTGCAATAGAGATGAACTAAAAACCTTCCTAATCCAGGGGCTTTGCTACCAGACCCCCTTCCAGTTGATGTATGTCTCCAGCCAATGTATACTTTAACCCTGTAAAAATTGTGAGCAACAAAATTTTGGTTGCATTATAATATTTTAATGTCTATTATAGGTGTACTATCTGAGTGCTTTAAATTTTTTAACTTTCAAGAAATTTATTACACCATATAGAATTAGAATATTTTATTTGCTGATCTCATATAATTTAACATTTTTTTCAGCTAGGTTTCTTCTTAAAGTCCCACAGTTATTATTTGTTTTCAATACTACTTTTGGCGAGAAACCATGAAAGACAAACAAGTAACATAACCACTTTTTCTGTTGATGATTATATATATAATTTACCATTTTTCAATTGACAGGATACATTATGAACAGAAACAAGTGTACACAAGTCATTCTGGCTATGTAACCAGTGTTTGTGTTGTGCCTGGGGATGCCACCCACCCCGAGGGCTTGGTAGTGACAGGATCAAGAGACTCGACTATTCTGGCCCATTCAGTATCTGGTGGTCAGCCGGTATACACTCTGGCAGGGCATTCCGATACTGGTGAGTTAAGTTGCATGTTTTATGGTTTTATCTGGTGATATGATATGTGTTTTCATATTTTTTCTTAGTAAGCTACCATCAGTTTTATTCATATGTAAAGAGTAAATGTGATAACTTTCAACTTTGCAGTCTAATGGATGGTTTGTTAAAATTGGAAGAGGTCCAAGCAAATTAAACAGAAAAACAGATGAGGGTTTGCAGTTCTTAGGGGTTAATATATATGATTGGATTTCATATAATTTAGCTCTGTATTACAATTTCATGAGAAATATCTGGCCAGGAAAAATCATTATATATATATATTACAAAGGGTAGTTGAACTAATCAAGTTACATATGTTCAATTATATGAAATAAAAATCAATAATCATATATGAAAATATATAATCATATTAAAACTACAATACAAAGTGTGTGTATTTGTATACATTTTTGCATAATTTTTCTAGTTTCAAGCCTGGAGTGGAAGAATGGCTTGTTGATCTCAGGGTCTTGGGACCATAGTGCTCGAGTATGGAAGAACTGGGAATGTGTTCAAGAACTGAAGGGCCACGAGGGTCCCTTATGGTCTGTAGTGGGGGTACCGAGGACCGGTGGAGATGCAGACCAACACCCAGTATCTATCCTGACAGCTTCAGCAGATAAACTCATCAAGTTGTGGGTAGAGGGCAAGGTAGGATCAAAATGTCTACAATTCACTGAGAAGTTAATGGAGTTGAATATTTACTTTCACTGAGAGTAGATCTGTTCTTTTGAGACAGTTTGTAAAATGTAGAGTGAACATACAGGAATACAGGAATTAAGAAGAAATAGTGATTGTCAGATTAATATCTTTTTCCTCTGTTTGAATTTTAGGTATGCAAAACATTCTCTGGCCATAAGGACTGTGTTCGTGGACTTGCTGTGCTGAACAATGAAAGATTTTTCTCTTGCTCAAATGATGCTTCTGTGATATTATGGGCAATCTCTGGAGAATCACTTGCAACATATTATGGCCACACAAATTTTATATATTCGTAAGTTTTACCAACATAATGTATTTGTAGTCATGATATGTTTCATTAGACCTTCTTGATCTGTTTGAATAACAGCCATGCATGGGAAGATTACTTTCAAAATGTTTTGAGGGCTTGAAAACATCAGTGAAATGGGGAAAATATCCTTTCAGTTTTTTTAACTGTCTGTATTATGAAAGACCCTTTTTGTATTATCACCTAATATGAAGGCTGACAATAGTGCATTTGCTCAAAAGTTATTGTGCTATATCCAGTGAATGTATTTTGGAGATTGGTTATTTTCTATTAATAGCTTTCTGTACATATAAGACAATAAGACAAATAATTAACAGATTGTTACATGTTCTTGCAGCATATGTGTTCTTGGAAATGGAGGTTTTGTGACAGGAGGTGAAGACAGAACATTACGAGTTTGGGGTTCAGAAGGAAACTGTATCCAGACAATCCATGTTCCAGCACAATCTGTATGGGCAGTAGCTTCCCTCCCTAATTCAGATATTATTTGTGGGTCAAGGTAAGTTCAGGATAGGCTACTTGGTTTGGGAATGGAATAACTTTAGTATTTATTGAAAAAAAAACAGTTCTATTGTATATGAGAATATTAAAGATATGGTTGTGGTAAGGCTTATATGAGTTATGTTGTAATGTGTTAGCTTCTTGCAGGAGTAAATAATTTTCACATTTTCATGATTTTAAGTGATGATATGAAGTAAAAAACTTAGAAATGTAAAATTTGATCTTTACTGTTTTATACTATTCCAATGTTTACCAGGAAATTTACTGAGATATCAGCAGTCCCCTCCCCCCCCATCTCCACCATCACCACTACCAAGAGAAAAGAAAAAAAAAGTGTTGGAGAGATATATGAATTCTGCTGGGAAGAATATCTCATTAGCATTATTAGATAGTTACAGCTGAAATATCCTTTTTCTTTCAGTGATGGAACCTGTAGAGTTTTTACCGCTGCAGCAGAGCGTCAGGCAGATCCATCTGATCAAAAGGAATTTGAAGAGAGTGTTGCTAAGTCAACTATGGCTGTAGGAGACCTTGGTGGAGTTAAAAAATCAGAACTACCAGGTAGAGAAGCTCTGTTTGCTCCTGGGAAACGTGATGGTCATACAATAATGGTACGGGAAGGTGAGAAAGTGAATTGCTATTCGTGGTCGGTGGCCAGTCAGCAGTGGACGCCTGTTGGTGAAGTTGTTGGAGGAGCAGGAGGATCTCAGGGTACTTCAGGGAAAGTCTTGTATGAGGGCAAAGAGTATGACTTTGTCTTTGATGTCGAGTTGGATGAGGGAAATCGCCTGAAACTACCATACAATTTGAGTGAGGATCCATATTTTGCAGCTCAGCGCTTCATACACAAACATGAATTACCTCAAGAGTTTCTTGACCAAGTAGCTACGTTCATAATCAATAACACAAAGGGAATGACTCTAGGAGTCGAAGGTAACAGTGAAATGACTGACCCATTTACTGGTGGTTCTCGATATGTGCCAGGAAACGCGTCAGGATCAGGAGGAGGCTCAGATCCTTTCACAGGTGGCAGTAGGTATGTTCCAGCAACAGCAAGGCCCAGCACAGGATCTGGTGCCATGGTAGACCCCTTCACTGGAGCTTCAAGCTATTCTACTCAAGGATCTGCTTTCCCTACTTCTCATTTCTTCCCACAAAGAATACCTTTAAGGTTTGAAGCTTGTAATGCTTCTGGAATGACTGCAAAATTAATTGAATCAAATGAGAAATTGACTCCTGAGGCTCAGTTATCAAAAGAAATGCTGGAAGGATTAGTTGGAGCAGTGTCAGGAACAGGTGATACCAACCCACAGCTCCTGGCTCCATTAGAAAAAGCATTACAGTGGCCAGCAGAACATGTGTGGCCTGCTCTTGATGTGCTGAGACTGGCTCTGCGTTCAGAACCAATGCAGAAGGTGTGGTTAGCAGATGATAGAGGAGATGCATTAGTCAGTTTGCTTGTGACTCTAATTCATCCTCCTTCACCAACCACTGCACAGCTTTTGGCTCTTCGTTGTTTAGCCAACATGGCAGCTCATGAACCAGGGCGTTGTGTCTTGGCAAGGGCTATGGCACAGGTTGTGTCTGGTACAGTTGGAATATCTCCCTATCCTAATAAGAATATAGAAATTGCTGCTGCCACTGTTTTGCTTAATTATAGTGTCACTTTAAGCACTTTAGGTAATATTGAAGATCAGTGTCAAATTCTCAGTGGTGCCAGTGTGGTTGCCATATCTGCAAAGGATCCTGAGGCACAGTTTAGGACCCTGGTAGCTTTGGGAACATTACTGTGTCAAAGTGACAAGTGTCGCTCATTTGCAGGCTCACTGGACCTAAAGCCAGTTGTACAGAGTCTATCAAATATTACAAACCCATCCAAGGTGGGAGAGTGTGCAGGTCATGTGCTGCGATTGCTTTAATACATAATGACTGTGTAGTCTACTTTGATAAAGGCCTTGAAATTTAAGTGTGAAAAATACAAGTTTTGAATGTTTTATGCAATATTGATTTATAAGTATTTTGACGCATTTATTTTCAGTTATTAGAATGATTTCCATTTGTAAATTGTTGATTTTTCAGTGAGTGCATGCACCGTAGACGCAGTTATGTAATAGTTTTATTTCATTTATTTTTTTCTTTTACTGTAGTATACACACACCACCCATTGCATGAGACATTTGAAATACTTTTCTGTGAGTTGATAATGGAAAATAGATAGTATTAAAATATAAGAGGTATTCTAAGTTAATATATTCATAAATGATACACTTTCTAAATAAAGGTTAATTGAAAATGCTTTTGCATAACCTGCATTAAAACTTCCTTGTGGTTTATGAATTTGATCTGACAAATCTTATTTAGAAGTCTTTTTCAAATAGGCATATGAATATTTTTTGGAAAGAAACAAAGTGATTAGAATGGAGTCATCTATTCTTTGAACAGAATGTTAGATGGCAAATCAAAGACAAAATGGCACAATCACTCTACAAAGAGAATGTAACAAAATGCCTGATATTCAGAGTATGGAGACATAATGATTGATATGGTTTCTGCACTGGTGGTGCTAATGTTGCAGTTTAAATAGTGCAAAAGAAGAAATCCTACCAAGATGTTCAGTGAAGTCCTTGATAAAATAATCAAATATAAATAGGTGTTCCTTTCTTGTAATCTGTGTAAAGGGTTAGAGGGCAGGTTAAAACAAGGGATGTCACTATACGGTTAAAAGTCCAATTAGAGGTGAATATTTATTTTTCCCAGTTGGTGGATTATGGGTCTGTTTTTAAAATGCTATGATATTTTTGGAAAGAAACAAAGTGATTAGAATGGAGTCATCTATTCTTTGAACAGAATGTTAGATGGCAAATCAAAGACAAAATGGCACAATCACTCTACAAAGAGAATGTAACAAAATGCCTGATATTCAGAGTATGGAGACATAATGATTGATATGGTTTCTGCACTGGTGGTGCTAATGTTGCAGTTTAAATAGTGCAAAAGAAGAAATCCTACCAAGATGTTCAGTGAAGTCCTTAATAAAATAATCAAATATAAATAGGTGTTCCTTTCTTGTAATCTGTGTAAAGGCTTAGAGGGCAGGTTAAAACAAGGGATGTCACTATACGGTTAAAAGTCCAATTAGAAGTGAATATTTATTTTTCCCAGTTGGTGGATTATGGGTCTGTTTTTCCAAATTCTGACTCCATTTTTCACAGTAAATCAATGGGTAACTATAAAGATGGAGTTGAAAGGTACATCTAATTGTGTAATTATTTTAGATTTCTTTGTCACATGTCACTAAATTTAGAATTGTGAAAAATATATTTTTTTGTCTTTTTCATTATCCTTTTGAAGAAAGGGCAAACAAAATTCATTGTGACAAATATAGAAAATACAATTAATTCCACAGTGCAAGAGATATATTTGAAAGAATTATTTACATTAGCAGATATACCTTTATTACCAACTGCACCAGTTATTGAATTTTGCAGCAGATTTTGGTAGAAGCCATGATACTTGTTATTTCAAGTAATGAGATCATTAATATTTTTTGTTTCAAAATTTTGTCAATGGTCAAATAGTGGGACTAAGTTATGCATTTTCACATATGCTGTATGTCAACCCTTTTTAAATATACCCTAAAGTGTATATATCAGTAAGTTTTAGGAAAGATCATAAAATATTATTATATGAGAAATAACAATATTTGATGTTTCAGTACCCTACAAACTACAGGAAAATGGAAAAGCCAATGTATCAAGGCTAGAAAGATCAGTTGGGAGCAATGATTTTTGCCTGCTGTTTTCATGACTATCACAAAATGGATTTGTTTGTTAGAAAATAATAAATAATTATCAAGGTTTGGCACTCATATGGCAATGTTTTTTTATGCAAAATACTGACACTCATGTTTGGTTTATTATTGATCCCCATTACTTAGGGGGAGCTATATGAACATTATTGGCATTCATTCTCGAAAAATGCCTAATTTCTGGAAGGTTGGATGGTTTTAAACATACAGTAATGTTAATTTTCAGGGAGGGAAGAAGAGAAGCAAAGGTATATTTTAAAGGCAAAAAAGAAAACTTAATATGAGGTCAATTATCCTCCTTTATTAACAAATAGTTGCTGATATTGGCAGATATTCTTGAGTTCTATGAAATTCACTGCATCACTGTGCATACACCTAAAGCTAATAAACAAAAAGTATGGTAAAAAAGTACACTTTTTATTACAAAGTACTTATAGTAAACTGATTTGTATGCAAAGAATCACTAGTCTATGAAGTAAAATACATATTAAAAAGTGTATAATGAAAATATTTTAACATTCATGTTGAGCATCAAGTCCATGAATCATCCCAAAAGGTACTCTTCTTTCCCTAAATGTAATTACAGGTTTAATTTCTTTTCATATAATTTACCATTTCTTGAAAAGAAATAAGCAACTAATAAGTAATAATAATAACTTAAAAAATAATCCCAAGCCCATAGTTGCATGGAGGGGGGAGGGCTTAGAACAAGTGCTGGGGATCTCCCCTGCCTTGGACCTCAGCCCTCACCTCAACTAACTTACCTTCTCTTCATGTCCTTTCTTTTTCCCTTTTCTTGAACCCCTTGCAATATCCACTGCCTACGGTGTGAGAGCCATGTTGAAAGGATGAATGCAGACTTTGTGCAAGTTACCTACATGGGCTTGGTATTCCCCTGTTTAATTTTCTAGCCCTTACCCCTCAAGAAGACCCTCAGGGGTGGACCATTTACTCCAGGTATACAATTGACAGTAATGAAGATTATGTATCTTTATTTGGGGCAGTAAGGTTTGCCCCCTTTGTCAACGGGTCCCACTGATTTTAACTCCCCAGTTCCCTGGTCCTAGGCTTTCTTTGACCACGACTCTGAACACTACTACTATCCCCTTTTCAGTGCATAATGTCTGCAGTATTACTTCTCTCAACACCACTCCCTCTTCCACAAGGCTCTGCCCTTCTACTACCCCCACCTCTACACACCTTTGAAGTACTCTGTTTAGCCACACCAAATGGGATCGATTTTTGTGATCCCTTCGACAACTCCTTTCTCTGATAACAAGCTCCTCATCCAGTAATGCTCCTGCCGTATCACATTTACATCAGAAATTCAGGCTAAAGCATTATCTACTTTGACTGACTTCACTGGCAAATCCATTCATGCCCTCAATACTTGTACCTGAACTGTCTCTGTCTCCCCAGCACACTGCCCTGTCTATGACAGGGATTGGCCAACCTGGTCATGATCGATCAAAGTGCTCAGCAAAAAAACACACATATGCCAATTGTGGTGCCTCACATAATGTATTTTATAGGGAGTGCCCTACCTATAAGTTTGAGTCTGCAGGGGCAATTCTCAAAGTCAAACTTGATCTCACTTTACGTGAGGTCAGACAAGAAGCACGCATATGAAGTTTTTCTCTTACTACTCCAGTGTTGTCCGTTGCTCTGC